TTGTTTTTGCGTTTAATTATTAAACTTGAAATGTCAGTTTAATGCCGCATATGTAACTCAAGTGCATTTTTATCCAACCACAACTTTTTTTTTTTAACTGCAGTGTGTGTACAAAACTTATTTCATTTTACTTTGGATTCACTAGAATTTTTAATTCGATACTGCCATTTTACCTCTGCAAGATGATTGTTTTCAGAGATAATCAAATCTTGAGCTTATGAGAAAACAAATCACTCGCGGTAGTTCTAAATTTTTTTTAGCTTAAGGAACAATGTAATAAAAAACATGAGCATTTCTTAATCTTTTTCTTGAATCTTCATTGGGCTACATTTTTGTATTCTATTGAAGTATTTATCATCCTTGCTGCATAATACAGTCAAAAGTCGTTAATCCGGACTCGTCGGGACTTCGGCGATTCCGGATTATCGATTTTTCCGGATTATAGATCATCAGTTTAAATCTGGTAAGATGGCATGCAGAAATTATAAAATTAAAAATATGAAACCGTAATTTATGAAATAAAGAGCAATTATGATCTAAAGGGTATCAAAATTTACAAAAAGAAAAAGCTAAATATTTATTTGTTTACTTTATTAAACATTTCTTTCAATGTAAGTTGTTTAATTTGCTTCGTTTCATGTGATAATACTTTCTCTTTAATTCTATTAAACAGACATAATTTCTTGTTTAGTTACAAAGTTCCGCTGTTCAAGTCCTATAATTGCTGTGTCGAGAATACCGACTAATTTGTCAATCGAAATTTTTTCGTTTTCAATAACCTCTGAGTCACTTCACTCACTATCGGAAGCGAATTATAATGACGAGGAACTTGATTTAAATCATATCAAAGACCGAGTACATCGAGATGAAATACTACATTTAGTAAAGAATTATAAGCCAAATAAAATAAAAACATCTGCCCTGAAGATAAGGATAGTGCTGACAGATCAACTTCCAATTCATTGCGCGCCGTGTCGTTTCCCTTCCCCCGCAGAGCAGCGTGAAATTGATAAACATATTTCGGAATGATTAGATAATCAAAGGATATGTCTTTATCCATTTTTTGCAGCAATTCCACTTTCTGTTTAATGGACTTCGAAACATACTTTCGCTTTGTAGATCCTTTACATATTAGTAAATATATATCGGAAATTCTATTTGACATAATCGGAAGTTCAAGCTTACTTTTATAAAATTGCTCTAACAGTCTGCAAAAAATAATAAGCCGGATCCAATTCGAAGATTAAAGAACAACGCAATCTGCAACATTAACTGAAATAGATAATTAGATAATTTTAGCTTATACCGTCCGTTATACATTAAACGCGCATGCGTAAACGTATTATGCGCATGCGCACATGTATATTCGCAGCCGTAAAGGTCTTACGCGCACGCGTAAACGCCTATGCGCATGCGTGAACGCGACGCATGCGCAGAAAAGAAAGTTTTTAGTTTGAGGTCCGGATTATGGGTGTCCGAATTAACGACTTTTGACTGTAATTGCCAGTTTTCAGAAGTTATAATTCAGTGTAGTGTAATATTTAATTTATCTTTCACATTAAAACTTCAAAAATAATGAGCATCCTTTTTTATATCTTTATTTCATTTTGATTTTTATAATAATTAAGAGATAGAAGTCTTCAAAGGAATATAACTGCAATTTGTTTTAAAATTTATTAAGATCTATAAAGAAGGCAATACAAGAACATGTCATATATGCATAAGAATTTTGGTCCTTGTTCAGTAGCAAGAGGTTTAAAAAAGGAAGAGAACGTTCTGACTGGCTTCCCAATGTAATCTATATATCTTCAAGATTTTGCCATCAAGTAACTTCCTGAATTCTAAAAATTATGTCACCTGTACTTCACCAGGTGACTAGTCCTGTGTTTTAGACACCATACACTGACAATACTGAAAGAGAATTGTCATTTCATTAAGCTCCAGACTTTGAATGCTGTTTTCAACTTTGAATTAACAATTTATTTTATTAATTTGATCTGAAGTGTATGAAATCGGGAAAATTTATCTTATATTAAAATAAAAAAAAGAAAAACAATATTTTTATTTGCATGCATAAAAGACCTGGGCAGTTTGGAAACATACACTAAAGTTTTAGCATTTTCCTAAAATATGATTAAGTAAAAATAACCTCGACTTGACAATATCCTGATTTAATGAAAAATTTCATGAATTATGTCACACTTTGATTACTATTAATTGTTTGAAATGATATTTTTGCATCCTTAATTGACAAACTTAATGACTATAGCACAGGGAATTAAAAAAAATTACTGAATTTAATTCAATGAACTTTTCATTAAGTCACTCGTGGGCAAAATTAAGAGAATTTGCAAATTATGTTTATTTTTAAGAAAAGTTTTGAATCTAAGGTACTAATTATGCCGCCAAAGAATTATGCAAATATTCAGAGTCGAATACGTAATCGTACATGTGCGTATCTGCGGAGCTATGATCGTGAAAAGAATGTCAGCGCACGAGGGGTTTTCAACAATTCATTACAATACTGGATATTAATCTGCATTGTGATTGCACCTGTATATATTTGTGTATATTTGATATCTCCTTTTTTAATATCTAAATTGTATTACACTTCATTTGTATTCTTATTTCATTGCCCCTTTGCTGTGTATATCAGAGACTTCGAGGATTTTTTCATCCCTCCATTTCATGTGTTCTATAACCACTAGTTGGCACCACATTACAGTAAATCACCTATCTGCATGTTGGAAAATTTTTTATCACCAGTTCGGACTAGCGTCCACTTCTGCGATGGAATCAAAGAGTTAAATGCAATGGTAGCCACAGTAATTTGCTATAGAGTTTCGCCGATTACGGTGTGTATGTATAAAGCCAATGGCCTAGAAGAGTTCTCCCAGATTCGGGTAAAAAACCAGTTAGTTACATGCCTGTTTCAAAGCCACGCTCGGCGATTAACGGTAGATTGTCGCCAGATCAATCAGAAGCGCAGGTAGTTAAAGAGCTCAATGTGACACCCAGTGTCGTCAGCAATTTATGGAAACAGTTTCAGGACTTTGAAAAGTTCGACCAAGATCCACAACCAAGGTCCAAAGCCGACCAAAATCCACAACGACGATTGAAGCTCACTATTTGCCTCTTTCAGCGCTGCGACACAGAACTGCTACAGATTCACAACTCTCACCTGAGCTATATGCTGCCGCTGAAATCCGAGTTTCACGGTTTACAGTTGTCTGAAGGCTTCATGAGATAGGGCTGTATGCCAAAAGACCTGCTATTTGCGTTCCGCTCACTTCAATACACAGACTTCAGTGCGTGCTTTTTACACGAGCCGAGATATGCCTGGCCATTGATTCTTATTGTGTCTGCATCTGGAAAGAGCCTGGAACACGATACCATCCCTCCCTCATCATGGGAAAGGATCATTACGGTGGTGGAGGTGTAATAGTTGGGTAGGTATTATGCTGAACGGCCCCACACCCCCTTCATGTGTTTGACAAAGGCTTTCTGATTTCTATGAGGTATAGAGAGGCAATCTTAGATCGTATGTTTCAGGAGCGCAGTTGGTCCGGTGTGTTCCTGTTAATGGATGACAAAGCTCGTCCACATAGGGCTCAGCTGGTCAACAGTAACCTGGAAAGTGAGGATATTCGCCACCTGGCTAAACAACGCAACACCTAACTGAAATAATATATCCCTATAAAGCATGTCTGGGACGCTCTTAAGGAGGGCAATTTTCCCCCCTCCAAGAACCATCCTGGAGTTGAAAACTGTCTTGTTGCAGGAATGAGACCGACTGCCATAGGGGCTCTTCATCTGCGTCCTGTCTAGTATGCCGTCACGCTACACGACCTGTCTGGCTGTAGAAAAGACCATACCTCATATTAGATCTTAGAGAGATGTTAATTTATTTTACCGATGTTTATTTAGAGCTTTATTGATAATCATGAGACATAAAATGACTTGGAATGTCACATTCCTTTCTCTGTTATAAATGTATATTCATAGCGTAATTTTAAAATAATTCATATTCAGCGATTTTAAGTGATTTACAATAAATTTGACAGATGAACTCCTGTGTAAATAGAAAGTTTAAGAAACATTAATGAAGTTCTCCTATATTTATGTCTTTATTCTAAACAACGCAACACCTAACTGAAATAATATATCGTTAGTTTCGCTTTCAGTTTCAGGATAGTTCTAAAAAATTAAGTTATTTCAACTTTTTTAAAAATTAACAGTATTCAGGATCTTACCTGTTTTTGAGGTGATCCTCTCTACTTCTCAAGGTTCCATATGATTTCGATCTTGTGCGAAAGTGATTTTCAGTACCGATATTAGTCTTAGAAATATTTTGTTCTTTTCAGAGATGGACGCAACTAGAGAGTTTACTGCATTTTGTTTTATTCCGTCACAAATAAGGTGATGAACGATTTCATCACGTTTGAATATTTGTAAATGATTTCATGTTATGCCCTGTTAATTAAATAAAGGGAAACTTTTTTAAAATTATTTCGTGTGATATTTGAATATGATGCAAATGTTATGCCATTTTTTAATCATATTTAAAGACAATATCCACATTTTTTTTTTTTTTTTTAAAGCTAACTTTTAACATTTACCGTTATTGAATCTAAGAATCTCTAGAAACTATGCATTTTCGTCTCACACAAATATAATAAATAATGTAACTTTTCAATAACAGACTGACAATACTTTTTATAAATTTTAAATAAGTTTGAATAATTCGTACATTTATCAGTTAACCAGATTTTTAAATCGCTATAATTTAAACACTTTTTTTTTAATATGCTTGGCACTTTTTTCATTTTTGGCATTGCGAACTTGGTATATAACATATTTCGAATTATCGAAAACAGTTTAAAAAAATTATATTTGAGAATGCAGGTCATGATATAAAGAATTATCGCATTTGGCCTTTGCCTGTTCTCATGACTAGCACGTCCAGCTGTCATGAAGACCAAACATTAGCTTATTCTTGCTGATTTTTTATGGCAGTTTATGTAGCACCGATGTGCGTAATAAAAAAACTGCCCATTAAATTATTCATAAGTCAAATGAAACAGTTTACACAGTTCTTTTTAAGCTGTACAGATATTAAACTATGCACGATTAGCTAAAAAATTATTTTATTTTAGTAATTGAGTTTTTACATGCACTTTAACACATTGACTGCCATGTACATCATCGATGATTCATAGCGGCCTTACTTTTCGGAGCCATGCTCATCGAAGTGTGACTCAAATTTTGTATTGTTTAAAGCTGTGTGAGTCATCGGTGCTTCACAAATGGATCAATTTATATGGTTAAAATTATTTCTACATTCAGAAAGTTGTTCGTATTCTTGGTTTCGGCTTCTGGAAGCTTTTTTTCATAGATTATTATCTGATTTTAATATAGATTTTGCTGCAATAAGTAATCATTATTTATGAAGTAAAACAACGAAGTTATAATTAAATGGGATTGTGTTGTTTATTGAAAGAATACAAGACTAGCGATATTTTTTAAGATGTTTACACATTCACTAAGTTATTTATTTTTGGTTATGTATTATGTTTTATTATTTGTATTGTAATACAGTATTTGTCTAATTTTACCAATTTTTCCTATTGAGACATAGAACTCTTGTGTTAATTTACAATGAACTGAAATGTAATAAATTTATTGTTTTAAACCTGTTATTTGTTTATCTATTTATTAAATATTCATAAAAATATATTCAGATTAGGTACTGAACTGATTTTTAGGATAAAGGAGACACGAAACCACTAGAATTAAAAAAAATGATCCGACAGACTATTTTACCAGATTTTGCTGTGGCACTGTGGTAAATAAAGATTACACACCCACGTGTTAAATAAAGATTCTTTTTAAGTACCCTAAAAAACTTTGATTTTAGAAAACATCAATTATGTCCGTGAAGTATTAGCAAGTTTGTTATATTTATAATACCGCTGCCATGGCTTCAGCCATGGCATGCGAGTCCCCAATGAAATATATCATTATTTCGCTCTTTATTATCCATTAAAATGGGGGTATCGCCTCAACCAGAGGTTCATTGTAGCCCAAATAAGTCTGTAGAGTTCCAAAAAAAAAAAAAAAAAGGTGAATTTGAAGATTTAATAATGTCCTTATTCTTCAGAAACACAATTTGGGTACAGTAAAATTAAATAATCATGTTAGAAAATTAATTTCTTTAAAGTTGCACAGTAAACACCACGTGATGCGAGGTGGCCAATAGCGAGTGAAGGAGTCATAAGACCGCGAACTAAAATTTTCACTGAAAGCAAAGTCTTTGCTTTAAAACACTACACAGTACTAAATAAATTCTTGGTTAAATGAAAATAATAAGTAAGAAATATAAGTTGCAATCAAAGTCCATAAGCTTTGTAGTCCATAACGTAAACTGATCTTGAGTAATAAAGAGTAATAAGATACGTAAAATAAGTAGAAATAAAAGATATACACTGTACACTACCACCATAATGCATTATGATGTATAGTTCGCGGTCTTTTATCTGTGGGTTCTTTAATGGCTAGGTATTGTGAGTTTTTCAGTTTTTCAAAGAAGTTGTGTGCTGTAGTTAGTATTTGATCATGAATCGGGAGAATATTTAAATTCTTATGGATTTGCGCGTTCCGCACAAACCAAGGGGCATTTGTTATGCTACGGAGAATCTTATTAGGTAAGACGTTTCTTTTCTAGCGTTCAGTTTATCCGGCAGTTGCCCATGCAGGAACTGCATAGAGTAGAATTGGTCTGATGAGGGTGATATAAAGATTTCTCTTAGTATTCAGATTTAATTTAGATTTCCTTCCAAGCAGGGAGTAAAGAGACATAAATGCTGCATTAGCTTTATTGATGGTATACTGGATATGGTCCTTGAAATTTAAAGCTTTGTCGACGTACACTCCTAGGTATTTATATGAGCTTGCTACTGGAACAGGTGAATTATCTATTTTAATATTGGAATTAACTGGAAAATTTTTTCTGTATCTGCGATATAAAACAAACAACCCAACATTTATCTGCGTTAAGTTTAATTTTCCAAATTTCACAGTATTTGTTGATTAGATTAGCTTGCATTTGGAGTTTGTCAAGACCATTTTGTGGATTTCTAGAGCTGGTTAAGATAACTGTATTGTCCGCATATTTATAAATACTTGAGTGTAGTGGGACAGGCATGTCATTTATAAAAATATTAAAATATTTCGGTCCTAAAACAGACCCTTGAGGGACGCCTCGGAAAATCTCTTTCTTGATGAGAGAATTTCTCCACATCTTTACTTGAAACGTGCGACAGTAGAGAGATAAGAGTAGGTAAGTTTAATGAAGCTATTAGGCAGAAGGAAATTTGACAATTTGTGGAGTAAGCCAAGCATGCCAGACTCGGTCAAATGCCTTCTCAAAATCGAGAAAGCATGCTGCTACACCATTCTTTTTTCTAAATTCTTGGGCGATAAATTCTACCAGGTGGAGTATCTGATGAGTAGTACAGTGTCCCTTTCGGAAACCAAATTGGTTCCTATCAATGCCAATTTGGTAAGTCTTGTACTGATGACACGTTCAAAAACTTTGCAGAGAGCCGGTAACCAGGCTGATGGGTCTATAATTTTTGGCATATTTAAGGTCTTTTCCAGGTTTCAAGATGTTAATAATTATTGAATGCTTCCACTGAGAGGGAAAATAGCAGTGACGAATGCATGCGTTGAAAATATTGGTGATAAGTACTATACATCTGTTAGGCAGTGCTTGTAGCCCTTCATTTGAGATATTATCAAAGCCTTGGCTTTACGTTTTTTGATAATTTAGAGGCTTTATTATGGCTTTTAATTATGATAGCATTTTCGCCTCCTCTGTTGTGGGGGTCTATCCTCTCTGATAGCCATGAATTCTGAATCTGTCACAAGCTCGAAGATGTGTTTCATTGACTAACATGACATCAATGTCATGTTTTTGGAGGTCGGAGATCGGAGATCATCATTCGTTAAGTGGTGTTCAACCCAAAGGCCTTTACCACTTCATGTTTATCCATCCCCTAAGGACCTGTAAAAGTTATTTTTGGAGGTAAGAGATAAGCTGAGGTTGTTGCTTACGGATACCGTTAGCATTGAAGAAATTAATTTTTTAAAAGCTTTTGGTAGCTGAAATAAGATTAGGAATATTATGAATCGGCTTAAAATTCATAATCAATATTTGACAGATAATCAAAAACGGCCATGCCGACCTCTAATTTTTCAAATATTCCTTTAGCATTTTTAAAATTTTTAGAAGAAATCTTTAATTTGTAACTTTAACCTCTCATAAAATCCTAATTGGCTAGTTTTTGATCCTTTCGGTTGGTTTTCATCTCTGGATGGATTGTTGCCAGGCAGGACTACGTTTAGGGATCTCCTTCGGATTGAGCGCCTGGAATTGATTTTTGTCGTAATGGAATAGATTCTTCGTCGCTTCTATTTTGGCTTTAATTTCTTCAATCTGTTTCTGTATATTAAATGGTTGTTCAGGGCAACCTTTAAAAGAAGAAATGTGATCTGCTCCGCAGAGGGCACAGACTGGAGGTTTATCTTTATCATTTTTTGTTTGGGAGCAAGTATAGGTCTCGTGAGGTTTTGCACATTTTAAACAGCATGCTTTGTATTTGCGGCGATCCCGTGTATGCCCGTACCGCTGGCACTTATGGCATTGCATGGGGCCAGGGCGAGATTTGTAAGGTTTCCACGAACACGTCGAGTCCTCTTAATTTCTTTATGTCATATATAGCTTTACCTTCTTTATTGCGGGTGCATTCAGCTAAGTATACAGGTAAATGGATAATTTTCCCCTCAATAACATGAGTGATTTGACGGTTTTTTTGGATGGGTATTTCCATTTCTTTTATTTCAGATTTGATACGTTCAATATTCAGCAGTCTTTGGCAGTTTCTCGATGTTCATTTTAAAAGTATGGTAGGGGAAGTTCAAGTTTATCTAAAAAATCAGTGAGCATTCTGTAATGTTCAGAGTCGTAAACTCTGATGGTAAGAGTTCCACCGGATAAATTTCCGCGGAATTTTTTGATTTGTAACTTTTCTTCAATAGCATCTTTTAATTTGTCCCAGTCGCCTGCAAAGTCGGCTAGGACAGTGGGAGGGGGATAAAATCACCCTGCTCGTTAGTAGAATCCATATTGTCTTCGAGATTTAATTCCTGGAATTTGTTTTTTCTGTGCTGGCTCATTATTAACCTCTGCGTTTGAAAGAGTGCGTTTATGTGTTATGCGAGGTGTAGTAAAACCTTCTTTATCCGTTATGTTTTTCTTACGCTTAATTTTAGCGTTAGTAGATTCGGTAGATTTATTAGTTTCCATAGTAGCTGGGAGTAATTAGTGGGTTCATCCTCAGTTTGAGTTCAATAACGTACTGGCTTAGTGCTGCGATTTGATTTTTGAGATCATTAA